CATGAAAGTTATGATAAAATGTTATGATATAAAGAAAAATGCGAGAGAGGTTATTATACTTGATAATGAAATGAAAAATGTTGGGACCTCATGCATCATTGTGTGTTCAGAAAAACGATCGTACAGATGCGTACGTTACAAAGTAGGGAAACGATCATTATGTTTACCATAATATTGCTACGATGGTCGCTATTTCTAATGGGTGTCCGACATCAGCAGCTACCAGAGAATGCTCGCCTGACGAGAAAGAGGCTCAAGAGGTGTGCGAACCGACTGGTGGGTCCATACTCGCATGTGTGGACCGTGTGTAGAATAGTAAATACACATCCAATTACCTGCTTAGGATAGTCGTAGTAGGAATATAGACTGATATGATAGGTCCCACTTATGATTGTATATGCTTGCATCTAACCCCGATAGGGGAGGTCATTTACGGAATATTTCTTAAAATATTCAAGTCATGTGCTACTTTATTTTTTCCAAGTAAAGGCAAGATTCCCCTGTACGACGGACAGTGACATCACAACCTAGAAGATCGTAGCACATGCGTAGGGTAGTTTGCAATTTGAATTTAATAGACTATAGGTTAGTATAAGTGAGTTTGCATTTACATTCTGTAGCATATACATTAGAATAGTGAATTTTACTTTATATTATTTTTAATTTTTATTATTTTATTTAAAGGCCTTCTAAAAAACATGTAAGACTATGATAAAGTTTGAATGAATAATTTTATTAAGAATTAATAAAAAAAACAATAAATATGAGAGAGAAAACTCTACGAAACTATAGCTTGCCAACCACCTTGTGTATTCCAACAACACAAAATTTATTCTACCTTCTACAAGATCTTCTTTGTAATGACTCGAATTAAATCTATTTCCTCTTTTACATTTAAGATATCTAATATTTAAACATTAATTTGAAGACTTCAAAATTTTCTTATAATTAGATTGAACTTTTTACGAACTCCGGTATATGATACTCCTACTCGCATGTCTCCACAAGAACGATTTGGATGAAATGATTTTAGTGAGTCATACTAATAGTGTTACTCAGACAAGACACCAACATAGTTCAACATTGAAATAAACTATTTTATACATAAATTCATACATAAACTATTATTATATCAAAATAGCATTTATACCAACATAGTTCAATCACAAAATAAGAAATGAATTCAAAAGAAACATTTCAAAATATACTAAGTTTGAAAATGAAGGTTAGTCTATGACCCTCGCTCCAAAGTTCACTCACATTCTCGACTAGCTTCTAATTATCTAAAAAAAATAATATATAAAACATGGAGTGAGTAAAACTCAGTAAGTAGCCTTCTTGTCGGCTCTTAATCGTAACCAAGTTAGGATGTTGAATCTTATTGGGTTTTAAGGGGCTTCACACTTAAAAGCTCATCTTGTTACATGTCACTTTCTCATCCTAAAAACTTCTCCTAAAGTGACCCTTAATTCTCTCCTTGTGAACACATGAGTCGTGCAATCATGATCGTGTCATCTTGGTGGTAAATCCTGATGCAAGAAATCTTATCTAGGCGAGGGAAGTAGGAGACCCTTCATGACATCCTACTCATGATACATAGTGCAGGGTATCCCACCTAGAAGAAGAATAAAGACCTCGTAGGGCACTGCGTGATGAGAGATAACGATCACTTTTGGGCATGAATCCTAACAACTTATTTACCATAGGGCGTAGAGTTTAGGGTATATTCTTGGTATAAAACCCTAGGTATATTCTTGGTACATCATTCATCAATGAACCTAGGCATACTTAAGATGAATATTATGCCATGAGGTTGTCTTACAAACTTGTTAGGTATAGCATAGGTAGAAATTAGAGGGCAACCTAACGTGATCCCATGAGCGTGAAAGCTTACTAGTACCTTGATAATCCTATTTCAAAGTTGTGTATAAAGTTCTAAATCAATTAGGTGTCTTAAAGGTTATTTGATCAAGGTCTCTATAGAAATTACTTGTCACAATTACTCAGGTGTATGCATGAGAAGATGTTAAATCCCTCAATTTTACCATACATTATTGTTGCGTGTATCTGTATATCTAATATCAGTAAGAGGACTACTTATTCAGTATAGTTTTATATTCGTTTCGTCAAAAATTTTGTTTACTTTAAAGGTAAGGGCATAATGGGATTTGACAAGAAAGACAAGGAAGGTTGTTTACTGGGTCATAAGTCAGTCTTCGTGAATTCATACTATGCTTCGCATATTTATGAGTTTTCTAGATAGTGTGAATTCGTTAGCTATTGTATCAACTATTTATTGTCCTAAAAAGAGTAGAAAGCAAATCGAACCCTACAACAATAATATACGTTTGTATAATATACACTAAAATTGGTTTGATATAAGTTTAATAAATTAAAAAAAATATGGTTATTCAAAACTCAACCTAACCTATTCCAAGAGCTCAAAATCGAGAGCTTGCATAACCTAATTTAACTCTCTTATTTTAAGTTAGGTTCATATTTTTGTCAAATTGGTGAATTTTTTAACACTTTCGTATTATTTGTTCTGGGGCTCGTATAAGGTATGCTTGGCCTCCCGATCCAAGAGGGACGTGACAGTCTCCCCGCATGCGGCTCACGCCATTCGAGGTGGCCCAACCCGAAATGTCCCTATATGTATTGCACAGAGGAGTAACTAACTGATTGTCTATTCTGCCGTCCGTATTTGGATCTGGATATGGACATCACCAATTATCGAGATTTATTTGGTCAAAGAATTTTAAAATTATACATGAAATTGATGTGGGTGTTATATTATTTAGAATAAAGCATGTTTGATCTTTGATTTTCATTGATAGAACTTGGTAACAAATTGGTTGATAAAGCAAATAATTTGGAACACTTTTGTTGACTCATTTCCAAGAGTTTCATGTGTTCTAATTCTTTATTCTTTGTAGAAATTATTAGAATATTTATTGTGGTGGGTAGAAAACAAAGTCGCCGTTTTCAAAATAAAATAAAATACAAAGAATATTTATATATTGACATGTGGACATTGTTGCAAAATGAAAGATTTGATATCAATTTGAAAGGTGAATGGATATCCTTATATTTGATGTCACTACTCATCCAATATTAAAATAAAATAAAATAAGTATCAACCAAAATATTGTTTCATATGAATAAAAATATTACAATTTTCCGATAGTTTTTTTTTTTTTTTTGAAAGGTGAATAGGTTTGTTAGATTTATGTTCTGCTTAGATTAGTCTTTGATTTTCAAGTAATCAGGAGGCTACCCTAAGTCAACATGAGCTTTAGATTAGTCCTTGATTTTCAAATAATTAGGACGTCACCTCTAGACAAGTTTTAGAAAAACCTTAATTTTCAAGTAGTGAGGAGGCTATTCTAATTCAAGTGATCTGAATGTTAACTCTTGGTTTATAAGTAATTAGGATGCTAACTTAAGATAAGGTTTAGGGTCGCCCTTGGTTTTCCAGTAACCAAGATGCTACCCTAACTCCATATGAGTTCAAGTTAGCTTTTGATCTTCAAGTGATCAGGATGTTTTCTCAAGATAAGCCTTTGGATTAGCTTTTGATTTGCAAGTAATCAAGAGGCCACCCTAAATCAAGACGAGCTCGAGGACAACTCTTGATTTTCAAGTAATCATGATGTTGCCTCAAGATTAGCTTTAGGATAATCCTTGGCTTTCAAGTAATCGGTGAGGCTACCTTAACTCAAGATGAGCTCAAGGTAAGCCCTTGATTTTTAAGTAATTAGGATGTAGCCTCAAGATAAGCTTTAGGGTTAGCCTTTGATTTTCAAATTTAAGAAGGTTACCGTAAATCAAGATGAGCTCAAGGTTAACTCTTGATTTTCAAGTAATCAGGATACTGCCTCAAGATAAGCTTTAGGTAGATTTTGATGTTTAGGTAATCACTATGCTACCTCAAGGCATGAATCAAGTTTACCACACTCTCGAGCCCTAAAATAACACTATATAAGTCCCAAATCCATTCAGATATGGAGACTGTTAGGTACCACTCAATCAACAAGAATGAAGGACAAGGATCAAGAACCAAAAACTAAGAACCAAGAACCAAGGATAAGAGCTAAACATGAATTGATATCCAAGTTCTCATAACAAAAAACCTAGAGTCTTCTCAGAACAAAGATTAAAAACTCAGAACCCAAGACCAAGGTCATTAGGCAAGCCCATGAAAAGAACTTGAGACTCAAGAACAAAACCTAAAGGCCTTAGTTCTCCATACAAGAACAAGAACATGAAAAGACACGAGCGTGATACCCTAACAACCTTCATGAACATGATTAAGAGACTGTTAAGTAAATTACTTATTAAATCTTTATACTCATTCCTATCTCTCCTATTTTTTAGGTGCCAAGAAGGAACCAGTTGAGGATAGACTTAGATTGACTACATGTATTTCAACTATTCATTTTTTTTAAGTTGTTTTGTTTACTCCTAAATATATTAAACTCTATTTTAGATTTGTAAATAAAATGAACTTATATTTTACTTTTGAACGTGAAAAAAATTTACTATATTTTATCTCGTCTTTTATGTTTTCAAGTTTTTAAATCACGACTCGAGTTAAAAAATCGGAGTTGAAAAATCGGATTGTGGCAATCTCGATAATAAAAATGGTAGGTTTGAAAGATAATTTTATGAAGGAAAAAGAGAAGACTATAACATATCTAAATAATAGGGTAAGTTCTTTCAAAATAATCTTTTTTTTTTTTCCAAAATTCAAAGAGAGTTAACTTGTGGAAGGACGGCACGTCGAAAGCGCGTGGCTCCAGACAATACAACAACCTGCGTTTAATATAAAAACAGCTCCCGATCTTTTACGACCAGTCGGCGACCCAATGAAGTACAACGCCACTTCACATCGTTGACAGTCAATGCCTACATGGCAACCCTTTCCGTTAGAAGTCCAAAAACGCCTTGCCCGGTTTCTCCGTTACCTACACGTGTCCTTCTCCTATTGGACCACACTCTTCAACCCTCCATTTTAAAACCCCTCCCCCTCCCCAACCCTTCTCGTTATTTCCTGCTAATTCCCAATCCTTTTCTCTGGGCTCCATTCTCTCGAGGTAATAATCCTTACTTTTTGATCGCCCACTTCTTAGTTTCTTCTTTTCTTTTCATTTTCCTCCTCCTTTTTTTTTTTTTTTTTTTTTTTTTTTTTTTTTTTTTTTTTTTTTTTTTTTTTTTTTTT